AGTACTTTGTTGGCCCGACGTCGGTAAACGTTAGTGGAGGTTGGTGACAACAGTTGGGCCGACGTTGGTTAGAAGTTGTAAATTTCAAACGTTTACCGACGTCGGGCCAACAGAGTACTGTGATGTTGCGACAACGTCTGTAATCATACATAATATTTACAACCACTAAGAAACGTCGGCCCAACGGTGGTACCCAACATCTATTTCAAACGTTTACCGATGTCGGGCCAACAAGGTACTTTGACGTTGCGACAACGTCTACAATTATATATATTATGGAGGTTAGTTACAACCGTTTGGCCGACGTTGGTTACAGGTTGTAAATATTAGGATGTGATTATAGACGTTACTTTGTTGGCCCGACGTCGGTAAACGTTTGAAATGGAGGTTGGTTACAACTGTTGGGCCGACGTTGGTTAGAGGTTGTAAATTTCAAACGTTTACCGACTTCGGGCAAAAAAAAAAAAAATAATAATAATAATTCGCGTGGGAATCGAACACACAACCACCAGGTTTTGCTATTCATTATCCACCATCAACTAAACTGCCTTAAAAAAAAAATGAAAAAAAAATTGATTTGTGTGAGAATCGAACGCACAACAACCAGGTTTGCTTTTCATTATCCACCATCAACTAAACTGAATAAAAAAAAAAAAAAAAAAAAAAAAAATTGGTTCATGTGGGAATTGAACACACAACCACCAGGTTTCCCGTAACATGATTAGTCTATTTTTTTTTTCTAATTTGCATAATGAATTTTTGAAACATTTTTGTCTATTTAAAAAAAAGTGCGTAAGTTATAGAGATGGTAACAATCAAAAATCGATTACAAATTTAATTCTACATATTTAGACAAAAAATAAACCCTCTTGGCCCACTGCCCATTTTTTACACCATGACCATGCGTAATATTAACCTGTAGTGTATATACACGAATAATTTTTTCTAGTATGTTGACTAACAGGTACTTGGTGTGGTACTAGGTTTATTGCATTTATGGTTTAGGGGCCGCGGTTTACCTCCCTCCGTTTAGTCATGCTGGATCAGGAGTAGTAAACTCGGCGGTCGTGGGTTCGATTCCCACACGGGGCAAATTTTTTAAAAATTTTTTATTTATTTATTTATTGAAGGTCGTGGGTTCGATTCCCACACGAGACAGTTTTTTAAAATTTTTTTTAAGGCAGTTTATTTGATGGTGGATAATCAATAACAACATAGAGGTTGTGTGTTCGATTCCCACACGAACCAATTTTTTTCCCTTTAAGGCAGTTTAGTTGATGGTGGATAATGGATGTATTGTACTCGTTGATGACGTCGCGAAATAACAACAAACAATAACGTGTCACGTCCGAGCCTAGGCCGTCATGGAAGCTCACTGGCTCCTGTGTAATTCATGTTGAGCCACCTGCAGACGAAAAGGTTACAATCTTTTCAGAGATAAGCTGGAAGAAAGTTTTAGACAGTGCCCACCAATGGAAGGATTTTAATACTGAGGAATGGAAGTTAGCGAAGTCTTTGGCTTGCTTAACCGTTTTTCTTCGATCGTCGCTTCCAACCGTCTAGGCGAGTCTAGCCTAAATAGGGCCTACATAGCAGGTCGATATCCATGAAAAGTCGTATATAAAGATGTGGGTTACCCACATCTTTATATTTACAATTAAAATTGTTTATTGAGCAGATTAATCCCACTGATAAACAATTGTACTACATTCGGCTGATGCATGTTTCTAGGCCCATTCATAAAGTTTCGTAGAATTTTGTGTATTTCCATCTATATTAGACCAATCTTTTAGTGATCATGGATAATTGTTCTATTTTGTCAAATCTAATCTCGATGTTTAACATATTAGAGGGTAAGCGAGCGAAGAAAATACAATAGAATTTGAAATTGCCAAAGAAAAAAAAATTAAAAAAATAAAAGAAACTTCAAGGTATGTGCGTCCAACAGGGGACTTCGGTCACAGCATCTCAGAATTTTACCTCAGGTCCACAAAATATAACAGATTGCTTGAAACTCGAAGATTATCTTTGACCCGTAAGATCAAATCTAAAAAAAAATTGGCCCTTCAAATCAATTAAAAAACAGGGGCCTATAACCTAAAGAAGCGTTCGCTAGTCATTATAGAAACGAGTGATAAAAAGTGGGCCTAGTCGTAGTCCTGCACGTCGTCCATTTCACCCCTACAGTATGATTCCTCGTTCACTCAATTTAAAAAGTTTCCTCTCATATACCTTGAGCTGCGTTTGTGTCGCCCCGTAGCTAGACCTGTTAATAAGGGGACATAGAAATTAAATTCAGTTCACACCCACCCGGCCGCACCTTGGGGTAGGACTTAGTCGTTGTGGCACGAGATATCCGGTAATAGCACTCCATAATAGTCTATCAGCCTTTTATAAGTGCTTTTCACTATCTCTTCATTCCACAAAAAGAGAGTCGGTTTTCGTGATACGTCTGTATTGTAACATAGTATAAATTTAATAAAACTAAAAATTTGAGGTTTTTCCTTTTTGAAATTGGTAGATTGCATTCCCATCAAACACCTGAAAATATGTAGTAACTAGGAGAAATATCTCAGGCTGTTTGCAGTCTTGATTTCTTCACAGAGTATCTCTGCCGAATTGTAGAGGTTGGCATAATGGTGCAGGGCCGGCGGAACGTTTTTCAAAGTGGGGGTGCCCCACTTATAAGCAGGCGCGTAACATGGCTTATTTTAATATTAATATAGGGCACACGCGTGTGTTTGGATCTAAATATAAGCATTTTCATCGTGGTTTTATTTATTACAATTCATAGGCCTATTCTTTCACCATCATTACACACTGAGGCCCTTCTTTTAGGTAAAACGATCTATCTTAAATTTTCTTTCTTAAGTTTTGGGACTATTATGTTTTTAAATAACGTAGAAGGCAAAGGAGGGCAAGCACAAGCTTTAACCCTAACAAATGCGCGAAAAACTTTTGTGTTTTTAATTCTAATTTCGTCGGAATTGATCAAAACTCCCTAATTGTGCAATTTTTAGAGGAAATTGGCCTACCTCAACAAGAAATGCTCTTA